GGAAATGCTTCCACATGCCTGTAGTGGCTCAGGCCAGAAGTTTGGGGGCACGAGAGCAAGTCCTCCCTTTGGCAATGGCTGGAAGGCTGGAGGGAAGCTGGGAGAGAAGCCCCAGGCTTCAGGCTTTTCCCCTTTCCTGCTCGAGCTGAGGGCTGGGGACATGGCTAGGCCCCTGCAGGCCTGCTGAGTATGACTGGGGGAGAGGTTTAAACCCCTACTCAGACCCGTACGGACCTCAGCTGGGGTGTGCTGGGGGTGGGGGTGGGAGGAAGCAGCCCCTGCCAGGCTTTTTCCCTGCTCCCCACTGGAGTGGGGGAGGTGGCGGGGGGCAGACCCCGGCTGGGTCGGCATGCTGAGGGGGAGGGGAGGAGTGTTTAAACCCCTTCCCTCTCCTGCACGGGACCCCAGCCTGTGTCTGCTTGGCGGGGGTGCGGAAGCCCCTACCTGGCTTTTCCCCACTCGCCACTGTAGCAGAGGGGGTGGGGGAGCCATGGCCAGATACCAGCCAGGGCCAGCACGCTGAGGTGGAGGGGAGAGAGGAGGGTTTAAACCCTGCCAGGGACCCCAGCTGGGAGCAGTGCCAGGTGAGTGAGGAAAAGCTTGTCAGGAGCTGCTCTGCCCCTGCCAGGCAGACCCCAGCTGGGGTCCTGCGTGGGTGGGGGAAGGGGCTTACCCCTCTTCCCCTGCCTCATTTTGCCGGTCTCGTGCCCACCCCCCTCCCTCCCCAGCAGTGAGTTGGGGGAAAAGCCTTTGAAAAGCTACTCCACCCCTGCTAGCTACACCCCCACTGGGGGCCAGAGCCAGGTTTCTCACCCCCACCCCCTTCTCAGCCAGCCAGAGCAATGAAAGTGCTGTAGCTAGGGAGAAGAGGGGTGGGGAACAGCCCTGCTCCACTGGAGCAGACAGCATAGTCCAGCCCAGGGCTGCAAAGTGTCCTGGGATGCCGGGGGTCTGTGAGTTAACTTGAACCGGGAAGGGATCTGATTCATAGATGTAGGGTTGGAAGGGACCTAAGTAGATCATCAAGTCTGACCCCCTGCCCTGAGCAGGAGAGAATACTGGGCTCATATGACCCCAGCTAGGTAATCGTCAAGCCTCCTCTTAAAGACCCCCAGGGTAGGAGCCAGCATCACTTCCTTTGGAAGTTGGTTCCAGATCCTAGCCGCCCTAACTGTGAAGTAGTGCCTTCTAATGTCCGGCCTGAACCTACTCTCAAACAACTTGTGGCCGTTATTTCTTGTTACTCTGGGAGGTGCTTGGAGGAGCAAGGTCTCTCCCGTTGCCTGCTGGTCCCCCCTGGTAAGTTTGTAAACGGCCACCAGATCCCCTCTCAGCCTTCTCTTGTGAAGGCTGAACGGGTTCAGGTCCCGTAGCCTCTCCTCGTAGGGCCTGCCCTGCTGTCCTTGGATCATGCGAGTGGCCCTCCTCTGGACCCTCTCGATGCTGGCCACATCTCTCCTAAAGTGCAGCGCCCAGAACTGGACGCAGTACTCCAACTGTGGCCTGACCAGTGTTGCATAGAGGGGGAGGATCACCTCCTTGGCCCTGCTCGTGATGCATCTGTGGATGCACGACAAGGTGCGGTTGGCCTAACTGACTGCGTCCCCACATTGGCAGCCCATGTTCATTTTGGAATCGATAATGACTCCAAGATCTCTTTCTGCTACTGTGCTTTCGAGAAGGGAGTTCCCCAGCCTATAGGTATGCTGCTGGTTCTTACTTATCAGCACCCTGCACTTGTCAGTATTGAATCCCATCCTATTCTCATTTGCCCACCCCTGTTACCAGTCCAGGTCCAGCTGTATTCTGTCCCTCCCTTCTAGCATGCCCACCTCACCCCAAATCTTGGTGTCGTCAGCAAATTTGAACCTTGTCCAAGTCGCTAATAAAGAAATAGAACAGTGTGGATCTGGGGCAAAAGTTCCATAAACTGGTTTGACCTAAATCATAGAATCACAGAAAGTGAGGTTTGGAAGGGACCTTGGGGTCATTTAGTCCAAACCTCTGCTCAAAGCAGGACTGTCCCCAACTAGATCATCCCAGTCAAAGCTTTGTCTAGCTGGGTCTTAAAAGCCTCCAAGGATGGAAATTCTACCACCTCTCTGGGTAACCTGTTCCAGTGTTTTTACTACTAATCCTAGTGAGAAAATTCTTCCTAATATCTAACCTAACCTTTCCTTACTGCAATTTGAGACCGTTGCTCCTTGTTCTGTCATCTGCCACCACTGAGAACAGTCTAGCTCCATCTTCTTTCGAACCCCACTTCAGGTAGTTGAAGGCAATTAGTCCCCTCCCAGTCTCCTCTTCTCTAGACTAAATAAGCCCAATTCCATCAGTCTTTCTTCATAAGTCATGTTCCCCAGCCCCTTACTATTTGTGTTGCCCTCCACTGTACTCTCTCCAGTTTGTTGACATCCTGTCTGCAGTGGGGAACCCAAAACTGAACACAGTACTCCAGATGTGGCCTCACCAGTGCTGAATAGAGAGGAATAATCACTTCCCTTGACCTACTGGCAACACACCTGCAGATGCAGCCCAGGGTGCCATTAGCCTTCCTGGCAACAAGGGCACACTGCTGGCTCATATTCAGCTTATTGTGCACTGTAACCCCCAGGGCCTTTTCTGCAGAGCTGCTGCCCAGTGAGTCAGCCCCAGCCTGTACTGGTGTATGGGATTGTTCCATCCTAAGTGCAGGACTTTGTACTTGTCCTTGTTGAACCTCATAGGATTTCTTTGCGCCCAATCCTCCAATTTGTCCAGGTCACTCTGAATTCTAGCCCTACCCTCCAGCCTCCCGGCTGCAGCCAGCCCATGCTCTCCGTAGCTGCTGCCAATCGTGGAGCCCAGGCTGCTTGCAGCAGGGCTTGCGGCCTCCCAGCCGCCTGCTGGGAGCAGCCCGGGCTCCGTCGCTGGCAGCAGCTACCCAGAGCCGGGGCTGGTCATGGCATGCCGAGCAAAATGGCCTCGTGTTCCATGCTTGGCATGCATGCCATGGATTGCTGACCCCTGTTATAACCTAAACTCTGTTCTTACTAGAGCTGAAACAATTGGATTCAAATAATAAGGAATTTAGCCTTCTTCCAGTTATTGATTGTGCAGTGAGCAGCTTGGCTTTCTTGAGTGCTGTAGATAGTTCATGCTCAGTTAGTTATATAAATTTCCTAGTCCTAAATCCAGTTGTGTTTTCAGGCATGGTTGGGCACATGGGTTACATAGTATAGATGTATTTCCCTAGCTGGACAAACATACTATTAGGGTGGGTGAAGTGTAGGGGTTCATGACAGCTGATCCATAGTAATTTTTAACAGTTGTTTCTTTCAAAAGCAGTCTGCTTCAGTTTAGCTTTCACTTATCACAGGACGGAATGGGTACACTAAAAAATTATTGTGGATCAGGTGACCCATAGTAATTTCTTTTAACTTGGTATATAATTTGATAGTCTGTTTGCGGTTGTTCAGGTTTCGGGGCACAACTCCATGTTTCCACATTCAGGTTCTACTTTCAGTAAATACTCAATTGAAATTCACTTTGTGTGAGAGATTCCTGTCATTGCTATATAATGTCTAAGTGCCCCCAACTAGGACCTATGTTTTCACTTTGATTCATTCTTGTTTTAGAAATAAGAAGAGAGAAGTCTTTGGAGGCACAAGCCTCTGTTCTCCAAAATACTTTGTAGTAGTCAGAAATAATTCTATCTAGATAAAATAAGTGATATTTATTGGAAGCTTACAGAAGATAAAACAGAAATAAAATGTTGTATATTAAATTCTCATCATGTAAAAGGTTCTTTTTAGTCTAGGCCAGCACTAATTCGCAGTTTATACAATTCATGTGGTAAAAGTAATATTTGACTCCCTTTGTAGAAAATCAAGCCCAATATAATTGACCCCAACTACTAATCTTTAAAAATGAAGGACATGTTTACAAAAGATATGCCTATCTTATTTCATAGACATTAAGGCTGGAAGGGAGCTCGCAAGATTATCAGGTCCAGCTCCCTGCCCAAGAGGCAGGAAGTATGCTGGGGTCAGGTCACCCCAGCAGGATAAGCATCCAAGCATTTCTTAAAGTTATCCAGAGTAGGTGCTTGCACCACTTCTGTGGGGAGTCTATTCCAGATTCTGGAGACTTGGACGGTTGGAGTGCCCTGGTGAACAGACGTTCTCCTGGTTCCTGATGCGCATCCCTGTATCCCTGTATACCAAGTCACCTCTAAGCCTTTGCTTCTCTAGGCTGAAGAGTCCCGTGCCTCTCCGCCTCTCCTCATAAGGCCTGTTCTCTTGACCTCTAATCATGCGGATGGCTCTCCTTTGGACTGTCTCAAGCTTCTCTACATCCTTTCTAAAGTGCGGAGCTCAGAACTGGATGCAATACTCCAGCTGCGGCCTCACCAAGGCTGCGTAAAACTGGAGGATGACTTCTTGGGTCTTGCTTGAGATGCAACTTGTACCATCAAAATACAGGATGCTTTGAAGACATTCTGCCACAAGTTAAATTTCCATTATGTTATGACATCTTTTGTTAAGTTCCACTAATTGTCTGTTTCAAACACATTTTATCTTAAAGCTTGTCAGTTGCCTTTATATACTGAGAGATTGATTTTCTTTAGTCTACAATCATGTATTGAACATAAAAAAATTCCTAGTATTCCTGAAAGCAGTGTATTGCCTTCTACAGATAGATTTCATTAGCATGTTATTAGAAGTCTGGGAATTCACTCTGGTCATTATGTCTAGAATTTATACTCTAGTTTTACATTAGTTTTTAAACTAAGTAATGATACCAGTGCATGTGGCATGTCACAAGATGATCTTAGAAATTGCCATCTAATATTAGTGAAATACGTGATTCAGGAAGAGCTGTTTCATAGTGAAGTACTACCTTTTTCAGTCCTAAATAATTTGTTTTAAATATCTCCTGTGTGGCTTTCTATGTGTGTGTGATTCATGATGAATAAGGTGTAGACATCAGCAAATTATCTACTTTTGTTCTTTTTACAGGTTGTTCAAGGAAGGAAATCACTGAACATTGGGAATGGCTTGAACAGAATCTTTTGCAAACTCTTTCCATCTTTGAAAATGAAAATGACATAAACACATTTGTCAGAGGAAAAATACAGGTAGCATGCATATGTGTAACCATTGTAAATGATAGAGGGGGCTCTAGGATGTGAACTCTTATGTATCTTATCAACAAATTGGACCTACTGGTCTCTACACTGCTCTGTTCCTTAAAACAAAACCTCATTCCAAGTTACCCTATGGTTATATCTAGGTTAAGGAAATTTGCAGTGGTTGAAATATATACATCAAAATAATATGCGAGTTTCCCAACTTCACCTGTTCTGTCCTTGGGTTCTGCTTCAACATATAAGGTTAATGGTGAAAAATGTTTTTTGGTCCAAAAGAAATGTGCAATGATTCACAAATATGCACAGACATTTTAGAAATGTATACAGATTTCCCTTGATTTTATGCAGTAGATGTGTTCCCAGGGAATGGCATATAAATCAAATTCGCATAAAGCAAGCCCAGTTTACAATTAAATAAATAGGGATGCATTCCCAGGGCAGTGATGGAGGGAAGGAGGCTGGGGCTAGGGAAGGGGCGGCGAGAGGGGTGCGCCACAGCCCAGTGACTGCAAGCAGGCGGCATCTGCCATTCCCAGGGATGCAGCAGGGGCAGCACCGGGCTCTCTACATGGTGCTCGGGGTGGGCGGCAGCCCCACTTGCCCCACCCCAAGTGCCGGGAAGAGCCTGGTGCCGTCGCCTCCGTTCTCGTTTAAAAAAAGTAACCCCAAATCCACATGTTTCTGTGATTAAAATGAAACGCCACTAATACATTAGATATCTATATAGTGGTGTTTCATTTTAATCATGGAAAAATGTGGATTTGGGGTTACTTTTTTTAAACTGAAAATTGGGGATTTTTTTAAATCGGAGAAAACCAGGATCCCTGGTCATCACATAAGGGCAAATTTGCATAAATCGAGGGAAACCTGCATAGGTATCTGAAAATAGATGCAGTGAGTTATAAACTGTATTGGCTTACAGAACATTAAACTCTTACAGTTACCAATGCTGATGTCTTAAATGAGTTTTGCTTTCTGTATTACATGGGAGAACTTGGAAAAATAATTTTGGCAAATAGTACCAACTGAATTACACCAAGTACACCAGTACAAAACCTCTGTGATCCAGACCTTTGATTCTGTCTAGCTCAGGGGTCGGCAATCTATGGGCCATGGGACCAATCCAGGCCACCAAGCAATGTCATGACACAGGGACATTGGTGGCATGTCCATGGAGGGTCATATGTACAGCAGAAGGGAGAAGCAGGAAGGCACCAGCCCACCTCAGGACTGAGCTGCATTCATTTTGACCCACTGCTTCTAAAAGGTTGCAAACCCTGGCCTTGCTCCAGTCTTGGCCATACTGGCCAGAGTGTATAATTTACCATGGGACTGATCTACAAGAGCAATATGACAGTGGCCGGCTCCTTTGCAGAGCAGATATACAAGGACTATTGGGCTTGCCCCAGTTCCTTGTAGTTTCTTAGCAGTAGGAAGAAATTGCAGAGCACCTGCCACAGCAATCATTGTTCCCCTGCAAACTCTAGGGTGAGACAGACCCTAGCCTTGCATACCCAAAAGGAATTTGGGGGCAGGCAGCCCTTGTATGCATAGTAATTTAAGGGAGGTCCCCCCTTCATCTCAAACCCCAGCAAAAGGTTCCTACTTGCAGAGTACCCCTACTTGCTTCAAGCACAGCCCTACACAGATTATTACCTGACTGCTCTGCTAGTCCCTGTCTGGTTGGGAATGTGTGCCAGAGCCCCTGTTCCAGTCCACAGCATGCCAAGCTCCAGGACCTGGCAGATGTCAAGGAACATCCCAAAACACAGCATCCGGGATGTGTGAAGGCAGCTGCATGGTTGCTTCTGTATCATGTGTCAGGTAGCAGCTGCAGCAGCAGGGACTGGTCCAGAGGCACCAGCATGGCACCAGCTGACCTGGCACCTGGTATGAAACAGCTTTAGGACACATGGAGGAACCACGCCACTGCCACAGATCCTCCATATATCCAAAAGCTTTTGGGATGGGCCTTGCAGTCTGCTTGGTGAGCTGTTTAAAAGCTTTGCAGGACATATTTAGGCCATACATTGCAAACCCCTTCTGTTAACTGGAACTTTAAAAAAAATATTATTGTCTAACATTACAGCAGTTTAAAAAGTACCAAAGGATTCTTGCCCAGCATCATTCTGCTTCCCAAGGTAGTTAGGTAGCCAGAACAGTTTGGAAGGAAAGGAATCTTTTCCTCTTAACCTGTGTGTTGGAGGGCTGTCATTAGCTCTTAAGCTAGGAACAGAAATTATACACAAACCTGTATAAATGATTGGAAACCAGTTTAAATTTGTAACACAGCAGAAGTTCAGTGCACATAAACCAGTTTTGGCCATTTTGAAAACGGTTTAAGATAAGCTTGGATGGATGTAGGTTAAGATAAACCTGGATGGACTTAGCTGATTTAGGTTCATTTAGCTTCTGTCTCAGATCCCCTCCAGATCCAAGTTAACTCAGTCTCCCAGCATTCCAGGATGCTTTGCACCTCCCTCACATACTGCTCCTCACAGGGTGGGCAAGCTAGCCTTGGCCCAAGCTGTCTGTTCCAACCGTAGGGAGACGTGCTCTAGCTTCTGACCTGATCCACTGCAGGCATGTGGCTACATTTCCAGAATCAAAAGTGAATGTCTGTTCACTTGCTTATCGGTTAAATCTATGCAGCTTAGACTAACCTGTGAAGATTGGATTTGTTCAACCTTGGGCTTTTTGACTGTCTGTACTTAGCCATAATGTTTTTGATCCTCTAGCCACATCTTGAATGAAACTGCACAACATACTCCCTTTATTCTGTTGGGCTAATCTAAAAGAAAGACTAGCTATGTGCTGGGATGCAAGCATACACCTCTCGCCTCCTGTTGTTTTGGAAGTAGAATGATAAAGGAAAACTGCGTTAGTCTCTTTAACCATATTTCTCTGCACTTGCTGGAACTTAATTTTCCTAAATTCATTTTTTTTCTACAAATTTTTCATTGACATTTGCTGAAAAACATTGGGTTTTATGAACACTTTTTTGACAACCGTAACCTCTCCTATTCGAGAAGTAAAGTGTAGTTGAGAGAAAGGGAGAAGCTTGGTTTGGATTTTGAGGCATAGGCAGAATGAGACAATGTGGTTGGTAGGACAAACTAAGTAGAACAGAATGCTGGTAGAACATTTAGAAAAGTAAGGAGCAATGGACAGAGGTGTTTTCCCTTTTTTGCATGACATCAGTGGTCATGGCATTTATATTGAAAGTATAATTAAACATAAAGTACATAATAAGCTTTTGGTAGCTATTACCCTTCATATTTTCTTCCTTCCTCTTCAGGGCATCATTGCAGAGTATAACAAAATCAATGGCATCAAGGAGGATGATGACACAGAAAAGTTTAAGGAAGCCATAGTGAAGTTCCACAAGCTGTTTGGGATGCCTGATGAAGAGAAACTAGTGAACTATTATTCCTGCAGTTACTGGAAGGGGAAGGTACCCCGTCAGGGCTGGATGTATCTCAGCATTAACCACCTTTGCTTTTATTCTTTTCTCATGGGAAGAGAGGGTATGTATAACAGTAAGACAGTCTGTACACACAAATGTTGGTCAGAAATCTGATACTGTTTATTAATTTATTTGTTGAACATCAAGAACGCTTTATGTATGCAAATACCTAAGTAACTATGCTCCTTGCCTCAAGGGAGTATAGCTAGATCACATCCTAAATCATATCGATATACTGTACTTCAGGATTCAGCATTGTTGTGATGGTTTTATTGTGTACAAATATGTCCACATAAAAATATCATATGAGGGTGGCAGGATCTGTATAACAAGCTGCAGAGCCATGGGATAAACTGCATGTGCTAGGCTGCTCTGACTGCTTAGCTGATACACTTCCCACAAATACAACTACTTCTGAGCAGATTCAACTATCCTATGAATAATGCATGGTTTTCTGCATGTGACTTAGTAAGGTTAAAAGGATTCTCAGATATTTGTGTTTGTGGATTCTCCTACAAAACTTAAGTTTTCTGTCAGACAAATAGAATAAGATACCATATACTAGTGACAGAAGAGCTCCTAAGGTGCATATAAATTTTAAAATGAAGGACTGAGATAGTAAATACTGTAAAATCTCCGTTATCTGGATTCCCCGGAGTGAGGGGATTACTGGTTATATAAAAATTCCAGTTTATCTGAAAACCCCTGCTGGGGGTTTTCAGATAACATGGAGTGGAGGGTATGGGGGGCAACTGCATCTGGAGTGGGGGAGAGGGGTAGTGGTGGCCGCCCACGGAGTGGCGGCAGTGCAGGGTGGTGGGTGGCAGCTGCTGCGTACAAACTTTCCCCCACCCACCTCCCTCTGTGTCCAGCCAGAAGTTCCAGTTAATGGAATTTCCAGTTAGTTAAATGCTGGTTAGCAGAGATTTTACTGTAGCAGACATAACTAATGCCATCTTACCAATTGCTTCCATAAACACTTGCCAATCCCTATTCTAGACAGCTGCAAGGTTTTACAGTTTGGGGGGGAATGGGATTTAACAGAGTTTCTTTAGCTCCAAGCGTGGGTTGCTTCTAACCCAGCCAGAGCAGAAGCTGGAGCCACTGCTTCTCCCCTGACGCCCTTACTCCTCCATAGTGCTACTTTTGCTCCTTTCTGCTACCCGAGTGAAGCTCCCCCACTACTGAAACACTGAAGAAGCTCACTTTCTCTATGGGCTGGATAAAATGGCTCCAAAGACCAGATCCAGCCTGTGGGTCATAGATTGTCAATACTGAATTATAGGATTAAAAACATTCAGGGATGGGAAATCTATCTGACTTCTATTAGCATTGTCACGGCGGGGTCCTCGCGGAGGGCCGTGTGCTCCTTAAGGTCCCTCGCTCCGTGTCAGGCCGGCCCAAGGCACCCTCTAATTCTCGCCCGCCA